TATATATTGGAATCTATAGAGGACACAATTCACAAAAATAACCCAATTTAAGAAAATTTTGAGCAAACTTTAATATTATAATGAATAAATACTGCTAGATAAAACTTGCATTTTGAAATTAGACTTCTAACTTAAAACCTTAGAAGTATTCTACTCAACTCTACGTCATTTCTGCAAAATACTCGAGTGATTAAGCATGATTAATTTAATTTAAAACACTAGTTAACAGTGATTAATGGGTTGTAGTTTGTAAAATCCTGTAGACCTTGCTTTTGCTTGAGTGATTATAGTGCTAACGAACTTGTAGATTCTAAGTTGAGAGGTGATGTAACATGAGGGTTTCTTTCCCTCCTCCAAATTTCACACTTTCAGGAATGTGAGGATGAAGGGGACGAGATGTGTCATGATTTGCATTTGTTTGTTCTTCACGGGTTGTCTGAGAGCTCACATCAAAAAAGTGCGACAAATGTTGCAGCTCTTGTCCTGAACTTGTGTATTGCGTGGTTCAAAGCGGTTCATGTTTTTTTCAAGAATACTTGAACTTTGAAAGATGTTTGTTTGCACTGTCTACCTTCTGATTAAGCATACAAATCTGCATAGATGAAAAGGTGGTATGCAGAGCTAAATAAGCATTTTACACTTCACATCTCAGTAACATTTCAAAATGATCTAATTTAGTGCTGTGAGTCTGTGAATCTGGCAGGGCTCAGAATACCTTTGCAGTTAGAGTGGCACACAGACTTGCAAGTTTCAAAGGGCGGATGAGCCAATTCGTGGGGCCCTTTTGCTGATGGTCAGTGCTTAGACAGATGTTTTCTTGGAGCAGCACATTGCTGTGTTGGTAGCAAAGGAGATGGAAGGAGACTTGACATCTGTTCTCCAGACTGGCTAGACCCTCAGACTCGTGCCCACGAAGCCTTTGGTGTTTTTATATCCCCCTCTTCTTTTGGTTTGCTGTCACCTCCCCTCCCCACCGATTTAACCCTTCATGTCCCATCATGCTCCATGTGCACTCATCAACAGAACACCTACAAAATGTCTTCATCTGTCCTGTGTTGCTCTATCATGAATACAGTGGAACAGCTGACACAGGGTGGGGGTAAACTGATGAAGAGAGGCCCATCCTGTTGCGTGTGTGTTTGTGCTCTTCTGCTGAAATGTGTGTCCGTCCTTGATTTTCCTATAAACAACAAGGATTTTTTCCCAAGTTGGGCTGTTAGAATTTCTGAATGTCAATAATCAAAGAATAAGTCATTAATCTCGGTTTACATACCTTGCAGAAGTGATAGCTCATGAGTCATCCTTTGCAAGGTTCAGATTTTTCAGTTGCTGACCCAGATCTTTTACAACTACACCACACCACCTCAAAGACAATAGTGAAGGCTGGATGCTGTAATTCTCAACAAGCATGTCTTCACAACAGGGTCAGATATTAACCTGGGTTTGGGGTGAAAATGTCACTAAGAATAACAGACATTAAAAAATCTCCACAGTTTTAACCTGTTGCCTATATTTGATATATTTCAGAATATATCATTCTTCTAGGTCACAGATATTAACCTGGGTTTGGGGTGAAAATGTCACTAAGAATAACAGACATTAAAAATCTCCACAGTTTTAACCTGTTGCCTATATTTGATATATTTCAGAATATATAATTCTTCTAGGTCAATCTAGTCGTAGTTTTGTGCCTCTGCAGATATTGCAGTTACCTATAGCTGTCAGAATAGTTAGTGCTGATGAATGTGTAACTAATATTTATTGGTATATATTTCCAAAAGTTTTTAAAATGTTGGGGTCAGTCAGTTTTTTATTTTTGAAGAAATTCATACATTTCAGCAAAGATGCATTCAGTTTATCAAAAATGGTGGTAAAAACTTCCACAAAAATATTAAGCAGCACAACTGTTATAATAATAAGAAATGTTGTGCATCAAATCAGCATATTAGAATGATTTCTGAAGGGTCATGTGACACTGAAGACTGGTGTAATGGCTGCAGAAAATTCAGCTTTGCCATCAAAATAATAAATTACATTTTAAAATATATTAAAATAGAAATAATTTTTAAATTGCTATATTTAATCATATTTCACAAGTTTTCATTGGTAATGTGTATATATACATAAAATGAGAGACTGAATGTTTATAAAGAAAACAATAAAAAAGTTCATTTCTGACAGGCAGAGGAGCTTGCCATTATGAAATGGCTGCAATATAACAAAGAGTGAAAAATTGAAGGGGTCTGAATACTTTCCGTACCCACTGTACATAAAATGAGAGACTGAATGTTTATAAAGAAAACAATAAAAAAGTTCATTTCTGACAGGCAGAGGAGCTTGCCATTATAGCTGTGTGTTGGACATCTCTTATAGTAACACAACCTTGGTTGATAAATGTTGTTTTCCATCTATTTGCAAATGTTTTCCAGTGCAACAACAATTACCCCCACTGTATCCCTGAAATCAAAAACATGCATTGTGCAACGAGTCTAGTCCCCAAGACCCCCCCACCCCCAGTTTCTCATCTCAACCTTGAGAAATCTTCATCACTATGGTGTTGGTATTCTTGAAATAACAAACATTGTTTCAAACATGAGTGAAACAAGTGTAGACTAGACCCCATCTGTCTGCAGCATTTACTATCTGTCTTGATTCCTCCCAGCATTAATCAAGCGGTTACTCCACACCTGCAGAATGTGCATCTCTCTACTAATTGCTAGTTTAAGGTGAATATTGGCCTGTGTGCAACATAGTTGGCATGTTGAGCTCCAGTGCTCAGACAGCGATTTTGCGTCTCTTTCAAACGTAATAATTACGTTTTGTCTTATTCAAAGCAGAGAGTTTGGTAAAACATGTGCAGACACTACTTGTTAGCACAAATAATTGTGTAGCATATGAAAGTCACAGAGGTAATTACTATATGTTTGGTGTTCACTGTAGTAAATAGAGTTTCTATGGAGACCATCTGAATGTGGAGGTGCATGTCATAATTAAGAATGGAAATTGTAAGTTCTGAGTCTGATTCCTCTTAATTAATCTAATTTTTTAAAGGTTCAATTAACAAAGTACTTTTGAACTTTGGAATAGCATAACATAACATGAGACAGTAAGCTGTATGTGTTTAAATCACTAAAAAGAACTGTCTCAAAAGAGTCATTTGTTTGGTAATCAGTTGGACTGTATTGGTTGTAATGTATGCTACTGATTCACTAAAAAGATCTTAAGTCAATTTGAGAATCAGAGCTTTGATTCGTTAAAACGAAAAAAATTCTTCAGTAATGATCAGCCTACACCAGTTGTGCTGCATGTGGGTCCGGACCGGTGTTTTTTGAAAAGTGGTTCCCAGTCCTAGTTAACCAGATGTTTTGATTTCTGAAGAAAATATGAGTGAAATAAAAATCTAAAATCATGCAAATGAATAGAAGTACTGCATCCGAAATATGCAAACAAATGACACAAAACTTTTTTAAACTTTCCAAGCAAACATTTATAAGTACAATCAGTCCATAAAAGCTTTTTACTGTTTTAAAATTAGAAGTAGTTTCCTGCACAAAAAATACAAATAAATGCCTATCAGCTTAAATTTGCAGGACTGGGATCTGCGAGATGCAGTGCATGAATGTTTTAACGACTGTGAATGAGCCTGGGTCTGAAACGCCCAACCTTGTTCAATCTCTAAAAATCTAAAATCATGCAAATGAATAGAAGTACTGCATCCGAAATATGCAAACAAATGACACAAAACTTTTTTAAACTTTCCAAGCAAACATTTATAAGTACAATCAGTCCATAAAAGCTTTTTACTGTTTTAAAATTAGAAGTAGTTTCCTGCACAAAAAATACAAATAAATGCCTATCAGCTTAAATGTGCAGGACTGGGATCTGCGAGATGCAATGCATGAATGTTTTAACGACTGTGAATGAGCTGCGCTGGGTCTGAAACGCCCAACCTTGTTCAATCTCTTTCAATCAATGTACTTGTGGATCACACAAACACATAATCCAGCACAAAATGGAGGTCTTTCATCAGTCTATCTTTGCAGCAGGATGAAAAAATAGGGCCACTTCAAGGGATTTCTTATCCGCAGCTAGTTTTGATGTAGGTCAGTGTTAAGGGAGTTAATTGTTTGATATATTTAGAGCAGCTTTTGATATATGTTCTATAAACACAGCCGTCGCGGATCCTCCCTTTTTCCCACATTCCCCTGAGGAAAAAATAATTTTAAAAACTTCACAAAACTGTGAAATGGCAGTTAAAAAACAATTAAATATGATTTTACAATATATAAATACAAAAGTCCATGCCTCATAGCAGGACAAACCTGAAAAAGCAATAAACACTGCACTTTTTTTTTGTAAAGAATTGTCCTGTACGGAACAGCAAGACACTTTTTCTTCTAAAAATGACCAAGGTATTCACACCTTGGCAGTCCCTCAATGTGGACAAGCCATCACACTCACGGTGATGACGATGAGTGATTAGCTGTCCAGTTCAAAGTCTGTTTCATTATACAGCTCCTGCCGATGAGAAGGTCTGTGACGGGAGAACTTCACCCTGATGTGGTCTCCAAGTTCATCAAGGCTCTGGAGAACCTGGAAGGACATGGAGTGAAATGTGAGGCTTAGATATTCAGAGGTTGCTATTTTAATTTTTTTTTATTGGGAATATATCCGAGATGAGTTACTCCACTTTTGTGGCACATTCCAGTGCCATGTTTGAAGCATTAAACTGGCTTTGGATCATAAAAAAGTGCCATAAATCAAATAAATTGGTTTTAAAAGAAATTGAATAGGTGTTCAATCAGTTTCATGCATCACAACAACCATGTAGTCCAACTGATTCCCATTCTATCATGACTAATAATTTTTTGAGCTGGTTCTTTTTAGTGAACCAATCACGCACAGCTTGCTATATCATATAATCATATATCATATATAAACTATATCAAATATGTTTTTATATTGTGCATCCCTATTTAGAAATCTTTGGAAATATACTAGATTTTTAGCTTTTTAAAGCGTTTTAGATTTTCTTCTTGCCTGAACACTCATTTTCATTTCACTAGACTTGTTTAACACTAACAGTTTAAGAAAAAACAAAAGAATACCATAACAGGTCTGTGAGATGTTGGGTGTTGTAATTTATTACCTTATCAAGCATTTCTCTGGTGTGGGCGGCAGACACACAGAAGCGAGCCCTGGCCTCTGTAATGGGTGTAGCCGGGAAACCTACAACTACAACACCAATCTTCCTCTTCAACATGGCCCGTGAGAACGCCCTGTGTGCAGACGATTAACAACTTTGTTATGGATTTTAAGCGAAGTTTACACAAACACAAACGTCAGCAATGTACTACTGCCAAGCATTCAAAGGTTCTAGAACAGCTTGCATCTTCAGGTTTTTTTTGTTAGGTATGTTTAGCATTGATGTCATGATTGATGGCATAAAACAGGCAGAGGTTTTCAAGCTAACCCTGAAAGCAGTACATGCCTTAATGCTAGTTTCCAAAACTTTTTATGCATTCAAGTTTCCAGATGCTATCAGTGCTCTTAGTATGACAATCTTCATTACAAACGTGAGACTGTGATTAGATATCACAAAGACACCGCCTAACTAGAACTTACAGTAGAAACATTACGCAGGGTAAAGCTGTCGAGATTCCCATTCAGAGTTTGCACTGTCTGCTACCTTTCCTCACCCTTTGAGTGAAGGGAAATCCATTGTAAACCGCACAGCTGGGCTGTTATTTGCATTAGCCAAGTGGGAGAAAAAGAAATGGATTGACAAGGAGAGAAAGGCAAAGGGAAAGGTATAATGGAGGAGGAAAAGATTGAGAGCGAGAGGAGGAGAGTAGGCCTCCACTTTGTCAGCAGAAACGACAGCAGCGAGAGAACAGAGCGGCGGCAGAGAGTGAAAGCTGGATTTAAAAGGCATCACAGCTGCCGTCGTCTTTGTTGGTGTGCCAGGAAGCTGTTATCTTTGGAGGAGTCTGAAACGCCTGTGCAGTGATGAGCCTCTCGCATGTCATGTTTTCTTTATGCCTCTTGTTTTTTCCCCTCACCACTGATTCATGGATCAACTAGACCATCCAAGATGGCTACGGTCCAACGTCTTCTTGAAAAGATCACATCGCCTTCTTTGGACCAGTGGAGATGACTGCAGCTTTTGTTGGGGTGTCCTCAAGCAGTCAGTACATTTTCCACATGGCATTCAAAGCTATCACCTTTGTAACCCAATGTAGGCCTCGCATTGTTGTTTTATTGGCATCCCGAAATATGGGCAGGTTCACAAGTTCAAAGGAGGATTACTATAGTGTCCAGATAGTGGAAACTGTCCTTAATCACAAAGAAGACGCACAGATGTGAAAAAGGCTCACAAAGAAACAATGTTTTGCTTCTTGCTGGCCCAGCGAGCTAAGCTGCGGGTTTTCAAATGGACTAAATAGGGTTTGTGTAAATGTGAGCCTGGAGATGCTGTAGTGTAAACTGATGCTCTTTTAAACATGTTGTGCGAACTGGACGCGGTCAGAATTGGCAGTCCGAATGGGTCGCTGGCTTGGGGAGCTGCTTACCCAACTTTCCCAGGTAGATAGAGCAGGAGCGGTACCACTGGAGAGTCCTGGTTGCCGTAAACGATGAAGCCCATCTCCTTCAGCCGAGATCTGAAGTAGCACATGTTCTCAGACAGCTGCCGAACTCTTCGCTGGCCTGCAGGGGAGATGCAGACAGAGGCATCATCGGGGAGAATTTGTTAGCTTTCATTGTAAAAGGACAGACATAAATGCGAGTCTACAATAAAGTAAAGATCATGATTTACAACAGAGCAAGCACAGGTCAAAAGGAAAAGTGCAAATAATACTTTTCAGATTAAAATTAGAACAATTTACCTTTTTATGTCACTGAAATTTATGACCAGTCCTAATCAAAAAAAATTTGATGACTAAAGTAAGACTAGTTTAAGCAGTAACATAGACTTTTTACCAAAACAGTAAAATATCATCTTAAATTTATTTGTGCATAACCTAATTAATATGAATAAACTTTACCATTTTGTGACATCACAAGCAGCACATCTATGCACCTGCCTCCCAACTGTCCCCACAACCTGAAGGCAGTGACTGTGATGATTCTATCATTTATTCATGATATATTGCATAAACATAAGCTGCTTGAATCTGATGGTAATTTGGAAATTCACTGAATTGTTGTCACAGTAATTCTACAGTAATTTGTAGCTCTCAGAGAGTCTGCGCCCACTCTGCGGTAGCATGAACGCCAAACAGACCATGTCAGGCAAACCATAGAACAAATATGTCTACAAACTAGTCCTTAAAACAGCTGGCACAAGTTTAGCCCACTTCTTTCCAATTCTTTTGACTACACTCTTTGCCTGCAAGTTTCATAGTTGTTCTACTTAAATATAGTTGAAAACACTGGGAAAATGGCCAAGGAATTGCAACATAATGTAGTGGCATAAAGCCATACCACCAGCAGTTACTAACAATACCTTAACTTTCCTTTTCCTAGACATACTAGAATGTATACATTTCACCTTTTTTTCTGTAAGTATAATCAAGAAGAGTTTATAAACAACTATTAGTTCACTTTAGGATATAGGCTGATTGTATGTGAAAGACTCGGAAAGGGGCCCAAAAGAGGAGACGGGAAATGACATCATCTGCTCTGCCGTTCAAATCCCAGGATCGCTCTTTTAATAGCCCCTCATTAAGACCATTAAGTAGTTAAGTGAGACAGAGCAGACCTATTCATAAAATAATCCAAAAACATAGTAACAAACAAAAACAGGAAGAAAACAGCAAAACAATAAATTATTACAGACGTTATATGTTTTCATTACATTTTGAGGCTCATGTCTGTACTCTCTTCAAAACGCCTCATAATATGTGTGTGTGTGTGTGTGTGTGTGTGTGTGTTTTGTCAGGCTGAATGGTAGACAAATTTCATCCTTTGCCAAGACACTCTTGGCTTGTACATAGGATACAATGGATTTGGCACACAATTGGAGACTGGGGTAAACTGAGAAGCATGGACTCAGATGCAAATGGTACCATGTGGTTAGCGGCAGTGTAGCAGTTACTGCTCTGGACCAATAATCTGAACTTTGGTGGTTCGAACCACAAAGAGATAATTCTAACAACTTAATGCAATTAGAGACACATCAGTAGCTCAATGAACATCAATATTTTTCACTCTCTGTCTTGTTCAGTTTATGTCTACCTGTCATTCCCTCCTCCATATTTAATTGTGTGAATCATGCAGTTCTGTGGGCTGGCCAGGTCCACCTCCAGCTCTCTTTGGCACCATGGCCTGAGTTTTTGGAAAACAACAGCATGTTTGCATATAATTGATTGGCAGGTATTTCAAAAGGAGGTGGGCTGTAAAGCCAAGCACATAAGACCTCATGTCAGCAGAACGAAAACAAACGCTCTTAACTTTCATTACATTAGAAACTCTTCAACTGAACACTGGCAAACTCTAGAAACAGCAGGTGAAGCTCAAACCAAACAATTAGTCATGGACGTGGTACAAGTTCAGATGTGACAGGTCTTCCGTTGCCTATTGTGTTGTATTCAGAGAGGGATATGGAGCATTGTAAAGCGAACTCTCAGATCAGTGACTCACCCTCCACAGAGCTGCACATCATGCTGGTAATGACACCCATGGGCGGCTTGTCCAAGTCTGATATAGACATCACAGTGTTCAAACAGCCTAGAGAGATTCTCTTCGGACAAGTTTGGACTAGAACCCTTTGTCCAACTGAAGCAGAGGAGTTTTATTTGAAACAGCTAGCTAGTTAATTAACTCTGCATTATATCTATGTCTCAATTTGAATTAAAAGGTTTGGCTTTGCTTTAACAGTCCTGCTTATAAATATATGCATGATTCCACAACTCCGACCTCTTTATTTTTTATGCATATTTACTTTTTATACGTAAAAATGTTTTTATTAGCCAGTTTAATTGCTCTTCTGTTGACTTACACTATACCGTTCAAAAGTATTCTTTTTTTAAAAAAGAAATTAATACTTTTATTCAACAAGGATGCATTGAATTGAGTGACAGTAAAGAATTTTGTTACAAAAAAAGTATTCTTTTTTTAAAAAAGAAATTAATACTTTTATTCAACAAGGATGCATTGAATTGAGTGACAGTAAAGAATTTTATGTTACAAAAGATTTATATTTCAAATAAATGCTGTTCTTATGAACTTTCTCTTCATCAAAGCATCCTGAAAAAATGTATCTAAATTTCCACAAAAATTAAGCAGCACAACTTTTCAACACTAATAATAAGAAATGTTTATTGAGCAGCAATCAGCACATTGGAACGATTTCTGAAGGATCAAGTGACACTGAAGACTGGAGTAATAGCTGCTATATTTTTGATCAAATAAGATTAGCTTTGTTGCACATAAGCTTTCAAGACTGAAACTTAACTCTGCCCTTCATTGCAGACTGAATCCCTTCCTATCATGGTGTGAACTGCAGCAAAACTAAAATGAAACACGATGTATTCTCTAAAAACATAAATATATGGATTAATGCATATCAAAAACAGAAGACAGCTTGAAAAACCCTTTTAACATCTGGTGCCATTCTGCTGACTCCTAATACCTGGAAATATGTGACCTTTTCTTGACGAAGACTCTTTAAGCCAGTCCTATTGCTTTATTAAAATCTGTTTTTCATGAGTTATACACTGTAGTGAAATTCATTTTATATGGTTATTAAATCCATGTGATTCTCTTCCCTATCTGATTCCCCACATTTAAGGAGAAGTGTTGGGTGGAGAATTTCAGTGTCTTTCGATATTAGAATGACTGACTGGTTTGAAATCTGGGTCTCAACGTCCTCTGACACATCAAGTGTAAAGTAGTGCTTCTGTTGTCTTCAGTCATGTGACTTTCTAAAAAAAAGTTGGCCATTCCCTTTCATGATTTCACATCTTAGTATTGCTTCTATGTCTATACAGTGCTTTGTTGCTTACCTTCGGTCGTGCCATCAACACCCATGATGCATTTAATTGCCCTGATGATCTGCTCCACGACAGGTGGGGACATGGCAGTAGCGTACACCGCACTGTGAGAGTGACTCCGCAAATAATCCACCAACTCCTGCAGAAAAACACAACACGTCCATCATTAAAGGAATACTTTCACAATTTACTCATATTTATGTCACTGAAGTTCAGACATTCTGCTTGGGATCCTCTTTAGTGCTTCACAGAAGAAAGAAAAAATACTGGGTTAAAAAAAAAAAATGTATTACATTAAAATAAAATTAAACAAGTTACAATTTTAATTAAATTGAATACATTTCATTAAAAATAAATAATACTGGTGATGTAATGGTGAGTAATTAATGACAAAAATGTTGGGGTGAACTATCCTTTTAACTATTTTATTGTCAACACTCAGTGTCAATGTTTCACAAGCTGTTGTAGTGGTATGGTTAAAGTTAGGGTTTGTAACAGGGTTCCCACGCTTCTTGAAAGTACTTGAATTTCAGACATATGGATTCAAGGCCTGGAAAGTACTTGAAAACAAACATAGGTCCTTGAAAGTGCTTGAATTAAATTTGAAATAAATTTTGTTTATGGCGCTATTTAAAAAATTGTCCTATATGTTCTGTCAAAGACCGAACAAGCGGCACTAATGATTGGGGGTGGAGATGGGGGAGCGCGAAAAAAAAAACGTGTGTGTTGACGCGCAGACTAGAGACCTGAGTGGGACAGTTTTCTTAAGCCCGCTCCCCCTGAATTTCTGACCATTACCGCCCACTCCCGCAACGTGTGTGTCCCGCTCCCGCAAACGTGCTTATTGTCTTATTGTATATATTTCATCAACGAAAATACCAAATATAGTAACAGCTGAGCCGCTGCGCATCTCTAAAAGCAAACACAGTCGAGTTTCATTCATGAATGAAAGTGCGTTTTTGAACGAATCTAGTGAGTCAGTGATTCATGATTACCCATACATAAAGATTTCATTCCTGAATGAATCAGCTGTTCAAACAAATCAATTGAATGAATGATTCAGTGATAAAATCAGTGACTTACCGCCACCTGCTGGTGGATTTAGTTTCATTTTTAGCGTATAATTTCAGTTATTTAAATCATTTAATATTTCTGTATTCAAAATTTTATATTACACTACATATGCTGGGGTGTGAATTTGATAGGTGCTTGATATAAAATAAATGGTGCTTTAAAAAGTCCTTGAATCTAGTGTTCATGAAAGAGTGGGAACCCTGTTGTAAGTTTTAAACACTGATTAGGTGGTCCATGAAAAGTGTACTGTGCCCTTCGGCATGATATTTAACCTCAGGATTGTTCAGAAGAGGTGAACCTGTAATAAGTGATTTAAAATGTCTACATGCATGAGTAGATGAACCGAAATGCTGTGCTGTCCAAATTACACCACTAGAGGGAGATGAAACTACACAGCACACGGTCACACTGAATATCCAGTGATAATGACAGCTGCTCTATTCATTGGTATTGTATAAAATCTGTTTGTTTGTTACTGCTAATACAGAATGTTAACAAACTGCTTGTATTGGAGTTCCTGAACTGATTATACTAACAGCAGATCTGACTATGAGGCAAACAAACACATATGGACACTAATACAGGCTTTTCTGTACAAACTATTACAGCTGTCATTCAATAGGTTGATACTTTGTGTATTACAAACAAGCAGTTTTGGAGATTTTGTCTATTCTGCATCCATTAAAAGGCTTCTGAGCAGAAGCCAGGGCCAATATCCAGCTCTTAATCTCTGTCCTCTTGACATCTGCATCCACTGTGGAGGGTGGAGGGGTGAGGGGAGGGGACGCACCTCATGGTGCACACAGGCCTCTGCATCCAGATGTGTCCTCTTACTTTGAGGATGGGGGCGAGGGGGTTTTTAGGGGAAAAATCTGCAAAGCAAACATCTGCTTCCACTTAGAGTGCAAGATTTGCAGTGCTTTAGGTCCTGGGAGCTTTGTGGAAACAGCATAAGATAAGTCAGTTAAGAGAACGTGTCCGAAAATCCACCCACATCTGTGGAGTGAGGGACTGGCTGGAGCCGTTTGGCGGCTCTCTTTGCGAACCTCCTGCTGTACAGTGTCCTTATTGCTGCTGAGAGCATGTGTTTTACTCTGCTGCTGCCGAGTACCTTTATAAAAAATGGTAAACCTACTGGAAGAGAACAGAAGTTTTCTTTGACAAGCTGACAAGTATGACTAAAAAGGTCTGCTGACTAGCAGCACCACTCACTATCTATCTATCTATCTATCTACAAACATTTGTATTTGCTCTAATAAAATAAATAATCAGTAAGTGGTCAATATTTCTGATGTAAAAATCTGACTCCTGAAGCAAAAATAGCTGAAAACAACTGATTTATAAACTATCGTTCAAAAGTTTGGGGTCAGTACGATTTTTAAAAAAGAAATTAATACTTACAGGAACACATTAAATTGATCAAAAGTGACATTTATTTATATATATATAAAAAAAATACTGAAAACTAAAAATACTTTAATACAGAAGATTTCTATTTCAAATAAATGCCGTTCTTTTGAACTTTTTATTTCTATTCTTAAAAAATGTATTCCATGTCCCAGTTTCCACAAAAATATTAAGCAGCACAACTGTTTTCATCATTGATGATAAATGTTTTCAAGCACCAATTCACCAAACATTTCTGAAGGATCATGTGACACTAAAGAGTGGAGTAATGGCTGCTGAAAATTCAGATTTACCATCAAAGGAATAAATTACAATTTATTCAAATAGAAAATAGTTATTTTAAATGGTAATAATATTTCAGAATATCACTGATTTTACTGTATTTTTGATCCAACAAATGTAGTCTTGGTAAGCTTAAGTAACTTTTTTCAAAAACATTAAAAAAAATCATACAGACCCCAAACTTTTAAAAGGTAGTATACATTACAGACAAGTACCATGTTTGGAAGCATCCTGTGAAAACCTGCAATTTTGATTTGTCCCATAAAAACAGTCTCACCTTATTAAATTCTCAATATTACACAACACATGCATGGGGTCTCTCTCTCTCTCTCTCTCTCTCTCTCTCTCACTCTCTCTCTCTCTCTCTCTTCCCCACCTCTGTTCTCCAAAGCATGTGTAATTCAAAAAACCTGCAGTCTTTTTCATTTTCAGTCTTTTATAATCAACTGCCATGTCCGTGATGTGGTTATGAAGTGAAGTGGTCTTTTTTAATGGAGTAATGAGATGAGAAAGGCGGTGTGACATGACCGTGAATGACATTTGGAGAACATATGTAGTTTCACATCATGAAACAAGACCATGTGTGTGAGTTTGAAAGAGAAGGGAAGGGAGAATGGTGTGCATGCTGATTAAAGGTGACGTAAGTCATTTCTGTACCACGAGCATCACCAAACGACAAATAGCAGTTCAACGCTCCAAATTTCTGTAAAACCTTGAGCTGCTTTTTGCCTCAGGAAATGCCTTTTTAAAAGAGCTCTGACAGTAAGGTATTACATAATGCCTACCTTTTTCCCCGCGATATACCCGCCAGTAGCCCCGAAGCTCTTAGTGAAGGTGCCCATCAGAACGTCCACTTCATTGGGGTCCACCCCAAAATGTTCTGTAACTCCTCGACCTGTGGGCCCCACGGCCCCAATGCTGTGGGCCTCGTCGAGGAACAGATAAGCCTTGTACTTCTTCTTTAATGCTAAGATCTCCGGCAACCGGACTAGAGAGCCTTCCATACTGAAGGAAACAGTCAAAGACATTTCAGTTAGGATGTGTTAAAAATTAGATTATGGACATAGCATGTCGACATGTAAACACAAGGCAAATATGTAAGTTTAATTCTTTTAAATTATTAAAATAGTTTAAAAAATGTATTACTATTGTATATAATATTAAACATCATATCATAAAATAATATAATAAAATATTATATAATATACAATATAATACTAAAATAGACACACACATTAAAAAGGAATAGAATTAATTTTTAAATACATTTTAACCTTCATAATACATAAACTTTCATATTTTAAGCTTAAAATACAAACCAACAACTTTCATGTATTTTAATATTAAAGGTGCTGTAAGTGATTTGTTAAACATAAAACGTCTCATACTACTTGGCAGATATAATTGAAATAGCTGTCCTCTCTCACTGATGGCAATAGGCACTTTTATCTGCTACCTGTACAGTGGTTGCGAGTTAATCAATCATTCATAAACTTCTATAATCATGCATGAATTTCATATATAAAGTTCATGAACCATCAGTGTTCACTTCAAAGCACAGTGAGCACCGATTTATGCAATAAATGACCTCAGAAAAAGGGTTATCGATGCTCACGAGGTTGGAAAGGGTCAGTCACACAACCACGACTGAAGACTTTGGCCTCAGTAAACTAACAGACAGGCAGTGTTCAAATGGGTGACATAACACATTAGAAAACCTCAAACAAACAAGACTGATAAAGAAGCGCAGATATTTTCATTAACTTCCAAAATAGGTGCCACCAGTTATTAAATCCAATTGTTTTAGCTGTTCTCCAACAATAATAGTAATTGTTTAATAAATCATCTTTTTTTATTTGCTTTGTAAAGCAACTTGAGCTATACTTTTGTAGGAAAGGTCCTCTATAAATGTAAATGGTCCTCTTTCATTTGATGTAGCTGCTTACCCTAAGGCTGGAGTGAACAGAAATGTAAATATTCGCAAATGTTCTGACCTGTAAATACCCTCCACCATGATGAGGATCTTCTTCCAGGCGCGATGGGTACGAGGTTGACCTGAGCAAATCGCCTCCTTCAGCAGCTTTTCTAGACTCTGCATGTCTGTAACCAAACACAAAACAGGCACATTACGACACAATCAGGTATTAAAATAAATACACACTGTTAGTTGGTATTTTACCCTAACCAAACAAAAGCCTACTTATTTTTAGGTCTTCCTAAAGCAAAATGAGAAAGATACACTTATAAACACCAAGTAGCTGGTTTTTCTTTTGCCATTCATGAGCACAAGAGGAAATTTGGTTCAATTAAAGCACCTTTAGGAATATATATGGCCGTAATATTACATCACTAACCTCCTTTACAAATTATGAACAACCCAACATGCTCATTCTAGATGCTTCTTCTGAATGTGGCCAACAAGTTTTGTTCTTGGATATACAGAACAGTGTTTCTTAACCCTCCTTCTGTAGAGACGCCCCAGCAAAGCTCATCTCATCAGCTCAGTAGAGGCTGCATGAATTGAGAGACCAGAATTGAATGTGTCAAATTACTGAGACACTAGGAAAAGGAGGAACATGGTCTGGTAAAATAAACCCAAAATAAGTGACCAACCGAACTGAAATAATCCTAAATAGTTTTTGTGTTTCTACGAGTGTGAGGGTTTTATGGATCAAGGAGAATTTGCTTGAATTCAATTATGTGATTTATTACAGCATATATTTGCATAAAACAAACATTAACCAAGGCTAAATTGCACCTTACCGCAAAAAAAAAAGCATTTCCAATAATTGCATCCTAGGGGAAGGGCTGGAAAAGCCAGAAACATTCAAAGAAAAGGGAAATAAATTGCAATGATAAATAGCAATGTTAAGTAAAAGTAAGTTCTGAAAGCACACTGGGATATCAACTACGCTATTATTAGTCAGCCATATTTAATTGTGTAAGCCCAAATGTGTGACTGTATTCTGCAAATAAGCTCGAAAAAAACCACAACTAGCCTAAAGTCGCTTATAATAACCAGACATGGCAACGCTACAAACTGGCCAACAGATGGCAGAGTTGAACTGCAAAATTCAAGATTTTGAAAGCCAATGCAGGATTGCTTCTGGCCTGTGTTACATCCTGATCCCATTCCTCCTCTGCTGTCTCTATGAATAAAAAGTGACAAAAAGCCCAAAGAAAAGAATGTTCCATATAGCCTCTCATTAAAGTGGCCTCATTTCAAACAGGTGGACGTATTTAGGCCAGTGAAGGCCAATGTGGACGCGCGGCCTGCTTTCACGAACCATGCAGTCTTGAAATACTACACTCACCTAAACAGATCCGCCAAAAGGTTTCAGGTCCAAGAACAATTATACAAAGAAGAATGGCAAGTAGACTGTGTGTGGACATACTTTAGATGTTTGTTTATGTGTGTTATGCCATCACCAATTTATTCAAGGTGACAATGACAGTATTGGCAGCCAGGTTATAGAGACTTTGAGCCAAAATAATTATGTTTGTAATACAAAAAAATGTTCAAAAGCTTTCAAATGAAACTACAAAAATCCATTATTTTATTCGGTGTACTATATTTACAGCTGGCATCTTTCCTCTGGGAAAATACAAGTCTTTCAGCAAGTCCTTACGTAACTGATAAACTAAAAAACTAAAACAAAGGCCTAAATATTCCCGATGTCAACAGCACGTTCAGGGCATTTAAACAAATTGAGTCTGTTTTCATTCAGATGTGTTTTTTGAATGAGCAATCATTCAGAGAAACAGATAAATAATGCTTAGACCTGCTTTTGGAATCTACCTTCGTGCACAATTTAAGCTCTTTTCCATTTTAAGACGGATAAAGGATTAAAATGGCACTGCTACCGTAACATGGTAGATATTTGTCAACAAACGTGTTCTAACAACTAAAATGCGGATGATAGTTATTGTTATGCAGTGCCAAAATTTATCTGCAGGTATCAACAGAGGAGAACATTTACCATATTTTACACCCCTGTCTCTGCAAATGCTTGCAAAACAGGTTGGATTATCATGTAATGATGAACTTTGACCCAATTATGCTTTTTACTTGCTTCAAAGTAAATGTTTATCATTAAACTCAACATATCCACTAATGTTACGTCATGCACCCGCATCTTGACAAAATCAGAAGTGGGGATCTCTGCACGAGTTTCCAAGTTGAAAGTCCAACTTCAAGCGGCATTCTTTTGCATTTTCTGAGGAAGCTGAACACAGCATTAGTTCGCACCATAATTAAACATACCTGAACCAGCTAATCAAGTTTGTTGTTGTTGTTGTTTAATTTGAAAAATGCAGCCAAGGGTGATGGAGTAGGGTTGCAAAACTCCTCTGTCACTTTTATCAAGACCATTTTCAGGTCAGAGAGTTGCACATGGAGTCTCCCGGGTTTGCCGTAAGGACTCACAACCAACTATTACATGGCACTGTCAGAGTACAAGTTCAAGCTTTTGTTGTTCATGCATCATGTATTCTCATCCAGCCTCTGGAGAAAGATGCAGACTAGTTTTCCAGTAGCTACACAAGAATACCATTAACCACTATGGATTCCCTAAAGCACAGCTTTTATAAAACCCAAATATGCCTTGTTGCAGTCTAATGCTTAAATTTAGTTTGCTAACCATCACAAACTGTGAAGATGATTGACCTCAGCATTTACAAATGCTGGACCTGAAACGAAAAAAACACAAAAAAAAAGCACAATCAGCCTGAACAATGCCCCCCCTAGTGGATATGAATTTCATAATATTTTGAATATGTACTCACTGTTGTGTTTGAAGACTCGAATGGTTGCCCCCGACAACCTGGCTCCCAGGATGAGGGATGTGTGATTTAGCTCATCGCTCAGGATCAAGCAGCTCTGGAAACAGACATTGTTACTGCACGGCTCTGAACACATTTTTAAGCAGGAATCCATCAATAGCACAATGTGTGGAATAATATTGTTAGGGTCCATTCAGAAATATCACAAATAACCACTACTACAATATAAATGTCAATACAATATAAAGAGTGAAAATAAAATAATAAAATAGAGCTACAAATGATAAAACTTTTTCTTATTTTTCTTATATTACTTTTTTTTCTTATTTTATTTGTTTATTTATCTATTTCTTTTCTCTCCCTCATTTACTGTCATTAATCCATCAATAGCACAATGTGTGGAATAATATTGTTAGGGTCCATTCAGAAATATCACAAATAACCACTACTACAATATAAATGTCAATACAATATAAAGAGTGAAAATAAAATAATAAAATAGAGCTACAAATGATAAAACTTTTTCTTCATCTTTTTTTTCTTATTTTATTTGTTTATTTATCCATTTCTTTTCTCTCCCTCATTTACTGTCATTGAATCTTAAAGGTGCAGTAGGAGATCTTGGAAAATGCTAACTTTAGCCTGATAGCACTGAAAGTGACTGTCCCACCCTCCCTGCAAACTCCATCCAAAGCCACGCCACCCGGAACACATTTACGCTCACAGACCAGAGACAACATTACTACAATAGGCTACATCAGCGGTTCCCAATTCCAGCCCATGTTCCGAAGTGAAGTAAACTTCAACGGATTTCCCCTGCTCGGGGAGTAGGGAGCAATGCACACTGTGTAGGGATCATATCGATCGGAACACAGTTCATGCACGTAGCTCACTTCTAATGAGCTGGCGCGAGGACTGGATTAACCGCTGGGCTACATCATGTGTCATTCACCGGTGAGAAAACTTTAAAAGTACTACAATACCAGAAAGGAAGATCGGGTTGTTGATGTTTGCCTGCCATCCTTGCTCTGTCTGCACAGTGTGCGTGAACATGCTGATGACGTATCCTGTCTGTGCGAACAGGGTGCGCAGAGGTATGCTAATACATACGTTGACAGGCAGGTAGGAAATCATATTAAAACGCTCGGACCGACTGAAGACAATCACCTATTGCACCTTTAATGTCATATTAAAAAAGTTCAATTTCCGATAAACAAGATAAAGAGAAAATCTTATCAGCCAATGTCAATAATGACCCTTTTCACATTTCCGGGGTTCTCAGAAGTGGAAGTCAAAGTTGGGTAAACTTCTGTAGTGGTGAATGAAATAAACAAACATTATTTTTGTCTTCCCATTTGCCCCAATAGCAGAAAACTTTAAAAGTACTACAATACCAGGAAGGAAGATCGGGTTGTTGATGTTTGTCTGCCATTCTTGCTCTGTCTGCACAGCGTGCGTGAACGCGCTGATGACGTATCTTGTCTGCGCGAACCGGGTGCGCAGAGGTATGCTAATATATACGTTGACAGGCAGGTAGGAAAGCATATTAAAACGCTCAGACATTTCTTGATCCTATGCCTTCCACAGAATATATAAATACAGACAAATACATTTAGACCACTTAACTTAATGATTGCTATCGGGATGTGAAGAGACTTTCAACCAGCATAACAAAAAATGTTTCTGAAGACAATCACCTATTGCACATTTAATTGCCAATTCCCCTTTAATTATCTGAACCCCAGATTCAATCCTATCCCAGATAGGAGGTGAACTATCAGGAATCCAGATCCACTTCATTGCCTTTTGCAGTGACCAGTAAGGTGGTCCTTGACCACTTACACAAAGAATAGTATTAAAATCCATTTAAGAAGAAAAGAGAATTAAGTTCTTATATTTAGTCTACAAAGACATATATGTTTTACAAAGACTTCTGGGAACACTACTGAGCAATTAGCACATTTTATGACTAAACATGTTCCCTGGGAATAGAACCTGCATCCCTAGTTTTACTAGGTGTCACCGTGCTTTTTTGTTAAAATAAATTGGACTTCTTAATGTTTGGATCTTCTATTGTGAACTGGATGACAAAGTCTCAATAGCTGCAGAGCATGGCCTGATTCAACAATGGTTGCTGTCATCTCCTCTTCACCTTGAGAGGCCTTGAACTGACACCTCCTCCAGAAGGCACAAGTTGTTGGACCCACTGCTTAACCAATACCTCCATGGCACAACATCATGAAGACTTTCCTTGAGGAAAAACATCCCCCTTAACGCAATCTAACTGGTTGCTGTTCCCCTAGCTCTCTGGATCTCATCTAGAGCCTGAGGTCTTCTCATCTGAGCTGGTTATGACTGACCACATCATTGAGACATAAACAAACCCTAATGAGATACCCTAAACAAACACTGTCAGTTCTAACTGTGTTTGCTTATCTGATTGGGCATTACTTTTAACAAGGGTTTGTTTAGTGTGCTGGTTCATTGGGTATTCTGTGGTGTGTGAAAAACTGTTTATAGTAGCAATTAATTGCAGGCGCCCAGAGATAATAGATTAATACCACACTTGTGAGTTCACTTCAACAGATAAAACTGAGGGATTTAAGACAGATGTAAAAATTAAAGAGACACCGTTTAAGATTAATTTTTAAACGCTGACCTTTCCGACTAGTGCCGGAATGTTCATGGAATTGGTGGCGAAACCCATTCCAAATGCCATTGCAGACTCCACCCCCAAGAACTCCGCCACAAGTCGCTCCAGTTTCTCATGGATGCTAAAGTTGCCTATTAAAAAGATAAAGAAATTTATTATTAAGCTGATACTTTATCAAAATGACTTTACAAGAATCTCTTTGGACTTTTTTCATTACACTAAACGGGAGCAGGAAATGTCACAGGTCAGAATGTCCAGAACACCTGTGCTGACTGCTTTCTTTAACCACAAGACCACTGTTCTTGAAGAAGAAAGTGATTTGTGAGAAGAAGTGAGAGACTGAATCCATTCTTGAGATTGTCAATACCTTGAGGAGGTTTTTGAATAAAATCAAAATAAAATCCAAGGCCACTACTATCCATATCCACGAAAGAAGGCATTCAGGACAGTGAACAAGAGTTAGAAGCATTTTGAAAAAAGATCAAAGTAGCCCTCTCTGCTCTTATTTATTTTACTTTGATTTTACTTACTTTACGTGGATATTAAACAAGCTTTTGGTAAAAAATCTTTAGCTTAGCTTAATGCTATGAGGGCCACAGAAGGAAAGAAAAAAATGCCTCACACCACCGTTGACAGAAAGCTCAGAAATACACTTTAAGAATTAATTAGACCACAGTCTTTCCCAGATTGGGTGTTCCAACAGCTTTGAAGGAAATTAGATTTTCCTGCATGCCTCCTTTAGCTTTTCTAGTTTTAGAGGCTTAGACAGGGTCAGCATGGAGGAAACAAATGAGATCTGTCAGAACATGTGAGGTGAAAGGTTATTAATCACTCAGTAGGTGCCTTCAGAGACTAAAGACATAACTGCAGACATGAAATACTACCATAATGTTGGTACATAAATGTCAAGAAGACAAAAACAAACAGAACATCTGATACTGCGAGATAAAATGTGACCCAAAGTGCCTTAAAGGTTAAATATAGATAGAGCGATCGGCTATAGATATGTGCCATAAATCTCTAAAGTGTTTTTTATTACTACTATTTATTACTACTTCATTCATATAAATACATCATTCATTCATTCATACTATAAAATGCCATTACATTCTGAAGACCCAAATAAACAGGCCCTAAAGACAGAAGTTATCACTTCTAAACACGACTGTTGAGAAAAATCCAGAAATTGACTCACTTTAAAGGGAGAGTTCATCCAAAAAATGAATTGTCATCATTTTTGCAGAATACAAAAGAAGATATTTTGAAGAATTTTGGTAACCAAACCGTTTTGATGACTATTGACTTCCACTGTATGGACAAAAACACTAAGACGTTTCTCATAATATCTTATTTTAAGTTACACAGAAAAAAGTAAGTCATACAGTTTTGGAACGACACGATGGCGAGTAAATTAATTGGGTGAATGAGGGTGACTTTTCATTTTTGGGTGAACGATTTGAATTGGTTCTGCATCCCGTTCATGCACAATTTCTAAACACACATCCATGCAAATATAAATTAACACATTTTAAAACACAATATAATTGTAGCCATGTTAATGTGCATGCTCAGCCACGGTGCTTATGTGGGCATCATTTCCTGATCCCATGAACCCCTCTTGTGCATCAAAGTGCCAAAAATACCATAATGGTCTGAAAGTTAGAAATGTTTAACAGCTTTAAGCAAGAAATTCTGGCTAAAGATATATTTCCCACTGAGTAAGACAGTAGTCACGAGTGGTTGTACCGTGAGAAAACACCTCTCCTTTTACATGATTCCTATAGAGAGCTTTGTTCTCTAAAACACTATTGATTACTCCAGACCTCCAATCATTCCCTCTCACAGCGGCAGCTGAAGCGTGATGTGTTTGATTAAACCTGAATCAGGGTCGGGCGACTACACTGCACTTCAGTGTGATAACTGATAAGCTCTCTCTACAGAGGAAACCCATAAGGGTCTTGACTTCTAACCAGGGTATTGTTGTAGTCTAATGAAGTGAGAAATGAGAGAGAGACCCATGAAGAGCTCATTCACCTACACAAGCAGAAACTGCCCATAAAACGGCAAGTTCTCAAAGCCTCTTAACCTAATTGTATTTAAATGAATGGGAACGTCTCTGAAAACTGTATCGACGTTCAGTGTTAAATACAAATTAAGTTTGAACAACATCATCTGTGACCACAGATTACCACAGAAAATCATGTTTACAGTACTACTTACATTGAAAGTGGGACAAGGCACTGCGCTGGAATAAACATTACATACAGGTGAACTTATGTACTTTAAAATACTAACATACTATTTAACATATTATACTACAACATATACTTTTAAACATTAACATGAGACTAATATAATAAAGTGTTTTATTAATCCTGTCTGTGTAAAGTCATATACAAATTTTCAACTATCTAAAATGTTATCTAAAATCAGTAAACACTGTACTTTTTTAAACAACATTTTTAAACCAGTAAACAGGTTTATCCACCTAAAACAGTAGTCCAAACCGTAAAAAGATGATTTACACAGCATCACAGCTTAAATAACAGACACATTTTCATATGAGATAATTAACATCACATTTCAAGCTTCACATTCCAAGATTCTGGTTTACAAGCCACTTAAGAGGAAGACAACTTTTGTCTCATAGGAAAATAGTGTAGCAAACAACATTTGCCACCCACATCATCATGGTGAAACATTTAGCTCTAGTTACAATAAATGTGACACTTAGATGGCCCATTATGTTGTCGACTCATACTTGAGTGCCACGTGCTTCAGTGATATTAGTGTTTGGCAACTGTAACAATGTTAAACCTATAAATTCTTTGTACATTTAAATAGTCCATGGTGACTGAAAACACACACACACACACACACACACACACAATAACGAATTCTAAGGACACAAAGACAATCCTACAGGCAGAATTTCTGTAAATGATTGATGCATCAGCCTTAAAACCTGTCACCAAAAACAAACACGGACCTTATTGATCTTGCAGTCGAAACAAAAATGTGCTGTCAACTATGACCGTAATGTTATAGTTAAAAACATATTACCCAACATCACATGGGTTATCTGTAAAATAGTAATCTAATGTAACCTGGGAGATGCAACAATATCTTCAGAAATCCCAATCTCCCATTAGTAAAACACTAAGTAAAACAAGATTAATTAATATTTTTCATTTGAATTAAAAAAATAAGTTATTTATACATCTTTATTTCTATAAATATAAACTTTATTATATTATTTCATATTTTGCATATTTCATATATTTACTTTTTCATAATGTATAATTTATATATTATTATTTTATACTTTTTTAAAACACTGGTGATGTGATGTTTGTGAATAAAATAAAGAATTTTCAAATAATCATTTACTCATTTTTATGTTTTAGAGTTCTACAAAATGATTTAAAAATGCCCATTCCTAATACGCACATACATACACAGGCGTCTAATTAGGAACTGCATCTTAATAAGGAGTCGTGGGGTTAGTTGTTATTGCTCATTTTACAGAGGGCCTGCAAAAATATATCCAAAAGCAACGACAACCTCTGAGATGCAGAAAAAAATAAATGAATCCCTCAAATGAATAATGAATGATACGACTTTACACACAAATACTCCCATGCCTCATGATCACATGTTCTTTCTGTCTGTTTCTGATGTGGTATTTGGCTTAGATTCACCACTGTCACTGCATAGCACCGCAAAATAAAAGATCTCAGATGACCTACTTTGCAATGCAAATGATCTGATATCTGATGACACAATTATATCATTAAGAGGGGTGTGTATTTTTACTGTGTAACTGTGTATGCGAGAGGAGGAGATTGAAAAGTTGTGACAGAGAAAAAGTGAAATAAAACAGTGACCAAAATATTTCCAGGTTTACTGTCATGTGTACTTAACGTGACTGTGCTCACGTGATGTTTTACGGCCTTGCTAACGTTAGAACAGGTAGCAACAGTCATGAAGCAGCTGAAAAATGTGACATTCAACAAACCAGAATAACCAGATCCTAGAACATCCGTCACACCAAAGTACTTACAACTGTGCCTGAACAGGTCTAATCTTTAAACCACCAGCAAGGATTTCCACACCATTTTACCAATGAATTTCCATGGAAGTTGTTTGTGATTACTCAATAATCATTTTTTAAATTCATTTTAAAGAGACTGAACTCACAAAGAGTAATTTCATAACCGATTAAATGTTTTGGAGCTTAGCATTAATAAAGCTAAAAATACATACATATATATGTATATATTCACTACAGACTTTTTCAAGCCTGGAAATCACAAGCCTGGTTTTCTATCACTGTAGGAACCTTAACATGAGTGCTTTAAAAAAATTACATGCACCCAGATAACCATTTCACCTTTTAGCCTTAGTGCAAACAAGCTAGCTTTTAACCTAAAATAGATTCAAATATATTTCAGCATGGAAATATGAGGAAGATCATTATGGGTCATTGAATTAATCACAACACATGTAATAAACCTTTAGAGAGAGATATGAAACAGTTCAGTCAATCATCAACTTGCGCTGCAAATTCAAAAACAGGTTGGGCCTTTTTTTTTGTTTGTTCGTGAATGTATTGTGACAAGTTTGTACATAATGGGTACTTGTCCTTGTGTTGTATACGCACCTTCTGTGAAAATGAATTTCCTCTCTGAGGACAAATAAATTATCAATCTATCTAATAAATCACCCAGAGAGAAAAAAAAACTTGTCATGCATTTGTGAAGAAGGAATTCTATGAACGATGCTCAAAGCAGGTCTGATCGCAAGTGGAAAAAATGCTTTTGACTAAACCAAAATAGTTGCTCAACAACCTAATATGCTTGTTCTTACGCAAACAATGTTGGATGCTGTTGAACCTGTTTCTGTTTTTGTAGGTGTGTTTCGGTTGCAGTGTAGCCACACACATACCTAATTCCTGTCTTGTGCTGCAGACGCCCACCCCGTACTGTCTGGTCTCCTCTGCTACGGTTTTCAGGAAGTCGACATTGTTTTCAGCAAAACCCAGATAGTTGTAGGAGCCCATATTTATGACGTTCTCAACGGTTTTCCCTGTTAACCTGCCAGAGGAGTAATACATCAACCAAGTTGTTGACTATTTTTTCTTGTTCCAGGCTGGAACTGAAATCAATGGGTATAATATAGGAGTGTATATTACAAAGCAGCAGTTAGTGTGAGTAAGTGCAGCCATTAAAAGAAAAAGTGAATAACATGAACCGAAATTACAGAACAAAATGGGAAAAATTAGCCATAATCATATAACTGACACAACTTATTAGTTTATTAAATATTAATACATTTCTACCCTGATGAAATTATACTTTAATATTATTTCATATACATTACCATTCAAAGGTTTGGGGTGGTTAAGATTTTCTAATGTTTTTGAAATAAGTCGTCTCTTATGCTCACCAAGGCTGCATTTATTGGATTGAAAAACTGTAAAAACAGTATTAATATTTTGAAATAGTTTTAGAATTTAAAATAACTATTTTTTTTAAATATATAAAATAATTATCTTTAAATATATTTTAAAATGCAATTTATTTATTTGATGGAAAAGCTTGAATCTTCAGCAGACATTACTCTAGTCTTCAGTGTCACATGATCTTTCTGTAAAAGTCTTTACTGCCACTTTTCATTAATGTAGTTCATCCTTGGTGAAAGTATTATAAGAGAATAAAAGTATTAATTTCTTTAATACTTTAATTTAAAAAATAGTATATGTTAGTATATAGTATTGTATAATAGTATATAATATCATACTGTAATATATTTCTCACTTGATAGTGCTGGTCCAAAAAGTTGGCTGATCAACTTGCTGGTTAAGCTAATTAAGAATCCTTGCAAGGACACAAACATCCTGCAGGAATCGGCACCTAAAACATATCCTGGTCTTTTCAACAGGGTCATGACTATTTGTTTTAATGCAAAGCATAGACCTACCTGAAAGTCCAGTTGTAATCATCCGAGACCCTTTCCATGACATCAAAAACCGGACCGGGTAAACTGCATATAGGCCGGTTCCAGTTATCCCTGACTCTCATGTACAGGTTCCGTTTGTAAAAGTTTTCAAAATCTTGGTAAAGGGGAACAAAGTCCTGTAATACAAGATATCAGTTACAACATAATGACCATAAGCACTTTTAAAACAATCTAACATTAGTATTTTGTGCTTTACCCTCCACAATATGCCCTATTCATAAAAAAATGAGGCACGGCTGACCCAAGATCAGCCATAAAAAGACACTATTTGCACGTGGGTAGTTACAACTGGGTGAATGTTTCAAAACCATCTGCTCTGTGAGTATCAGAGTCCTAAGAGACTCACCCACATCTTGTCCTTAAGTAAACTCCAAAACAACGAGGGAGAGTCTAATCAGAATCCTCATTGTGCTGCCTTTATTAAACTTCTTTGAACTGCTCAAAAGACAATTAAGACAGCAGAAAATAACAAAGGCGCAACAAATTGCCACCTGACTTTTACAAGTTTTGCTTAAGCTTTTAACTGCCACTCATACGTTTTTCTGGTCACTGAGGAGCTAGGTGTCTGCTCTTTGCCCAGCATTTCAGATCACGCATTCAAAGTGTTCTCTTAATGCCCGGTTCAGACTACACGATTTTAGCCCGATTTTGCCACGATTTGCTTGACGTAGGGTGTCGTGGGGATTCGTAAACGACAATGGGCGTCGGGACGCAAGATTCCATCGTTTCAGCACGTGTAGTGTCATAGTGGACGACAACCGATTCCGTGTCTGCGATGCTTCATGACAGAATAAGACTAGCATGTTTAATTTTTTTTCCGTCGTCCACGACGAGTTCGCTAGTTCCGCCTTCTCGATGACATCACGTGCGTCGTTAAAGACGGCACACGATGAATGGTCGGGAAGCAACATGTAGTCTGACATGTTTCTTGTCCACGACACGACAAAATCGTGAAATCTGACACAGTGACTATCGTGACCGACAAAAATATTGTGTAGTCTGAACCCGGCATAAGACACCAAGAAAGCTTAAACAAAAAAACTGTGCTCTTACTGATTCTCATAGACTTATTTTGTTCTCATTTAACACAAAGAATACACAAAGTACACAGTTTAAAGCTTTGCTGGTGTGTGACTTATACGGCAATGTAGAAACCCCTGTTAAACAGGAAAAGGGAGAACACAAATGCTGTGAGATCATTTGAAGCCACATGTAAATGTTGCTCTTAAATGCTAATGGAGTGTATGGGCCTACATATCAAGCACACTCTGTGAAATGTGCAGTGCTGAAGTAAAACCAGTTCTTTTCCAGTTCATATATTTATTTTCATCGGATATTAATCGGTGCTGTATCAGCATTCCTTCACTGAAAAGTCTGTTACACTCACTTCTTACTGATTTGTGTACTTTACAGATTAGAGCTAGCTTAGAAATGAAAGTGAAAGTGACATGACGTGTAGCCAAGTACTTGGAATTTGTGCTCTGCATATAACCCATCCAAATGCACACACACAGCAGTGAGTAGTGAACACACATACACACCGTGAACACACACCTGGAGCAGTGGGCAGCCATTTTTGTTGCGGTGGCTAGGGAGCAGGTGGGGGTTCGTTGCCTTGCTCAAGGGTCTCACCTCATTCGTGGTATTGATGGTGGAAGAGAACGCTCTACATTCACTCCCCCACCCCCCACCTACAATCTCGAGACTCGAACCCGCGACCTTTGGGTTACAAGTGCGACTCTCTAACCATTAATCCACAACTGCCCAGAAGATTTAGACACTGCCAATTTGGCTGAAGTGATTCACACTGATCATGGAAAACATGGCAAGCACAGAGCAGAAATCCACAGTGTGTTCACTCATATCAGTGTAACACAATTGTAACATTTAAGTTTGCTAAAGGTGTGACTCCCTCTGAAAGCTTACCGTTTCATAATCTTGTCAACTAAACTTAAAAAAACTCAATTTATGCCTTTGAATAATCACATCTAATGTAATGCCACCAGCTTTGAGTTAGAAATGTGCATGAAAGAGGCATCTTTGTGAAGGCGGCATTCTCGATGGACAGACTGTGAGCAGAAATAATGAACCCACTCTCCTTTGGGGTTTAATTGTGTCTTTAACCTCCCCGGCATCACCTCACACATATCATAGAGATTTTCCATAGTGAACGGTGTGTAAATTAAATGACATGAAAGAAAACACTTTTGTGTTTGACAATAAATTTGTCTTAACAAATACTCATCTTTTTACAGTTATTATTTCCAAATGTTAAGTATGTAACTGAATATTTGCCATTTATAGACACACATAAAGTTGTTATTCTGTTCCAAAAATAAAAAAACCTTCCACCAATCAGTGGAGGGTTTACATGAGGTAAAGCTAAAAATAATAATAAAACAATATTTTCTTCCCAGAGTGTATGAAAACTAGAACAAGACAAACTGGAACATACTAACTTTTCTTCACATGATGGTTACCACAGTTTGAGAAATATGCTAAATGGAGAGTGACTCTTACCTTTTGCTCTTCTCTCTCCTGGGCCTGATGGCACTTCTCTAAGCCAACAGCTCTTAAGAAATCCCTGAAATAGCCAAATAGGATGACGATTCCATAACCCATGTATGTCAGGACAGCCACGTACATGGGGGCCTCCTCAAATGAATCCTCACCCCTAACTCGAGGTTGATGAAAACCGTCTCCCTTGCCATTTTTCTGCACCTAAAATATAATTGACAAAACATTATAATCCAAAAGTTATATTCAAATATTATTTTAATTCCACTGCAATTTAATAGACAAATGACATTCAAACATATAGGTTACTACATAAAATAAAGACCTCAATTTACATCATTTAATAATAAGTGTAATTTCTAAGTTTGCTTAAGTAATATCCTTCATAACCAATATGACACTTGTAATGACAAATACCATAGTATATAAAAATACAATTTTATTGAAACCATAGTTAAATTAAGAGAGAAGCCAATCCACCAGTGTTTTGACTGTGGTTACAAATACAAATTTTACAGTTAAACTATATGGTTAATAATGCAACTATTTTCATAAGAGTAAACATTTATTTCATTACGAAAATAGCACTTGGACTTAAAGCATATTTCAGTGATGACTAACTGGTGACTCGTATTTCGAAGGGATTCATTAAATGAACCATCTGAAGGAACCGATTCGCTGAAATGAATCGGACCTCAACGCTATACTAAGTCAAACCTGTTGTAAAAGTTACAACGTCTGTAAAAACTACGTAGTACTTCAAGTCCGCCTTAAAAATCACTCCTTGTATTTGAACTTTTCTTTTTAGAATAACACGTTTAACTTGACGCATTGAGCAGAAGTGATGCACTTTGACTTACCGTTTCTTTTCTGTGATATCCATTTTTCAAACTGTTGCTTTCCTGTTGTTTCTGGTCAGAATGACACTTCAGGGTTCCATTGCACGAATGATGTTCATCTGTTCGTATCATGTTTGCGACGCGTCAACACTGAAGGATGAATTATATAGGCTATTAAACTTCTCTTTTCTGTCCCTCAGTTTAGAGAAGTGTGTGTGTGTCCGTTGAAGTGCATTTCCCTGATGTGACTTCACCATCCGACTTCATTCTCAATTGACTTTGATTTGTGTACACACACCTTTGGACCAGGAAGTATTCACGGACATCAGAGGAACGACGCGACGCGACTGGGCGCTGCCTTTTACAGCTTCGTTGGTGACAATGGAGCAGTTCCAGGCGCAGTGAAGACACGGTGGTAGTTTTAAACTGGGCGACAGTCGTTCTGAATCTGCGTCTGAATGTGTTTTATAATAAATGAAAAGCAAAACTAAAACCGAGTTGTCAGTGGTAAAAGAGAAACTGTTGAAAAATGCATACGATGCAATCTGCCTATGATACAGTTGATACCAATTAGCAAACAGCATGAAAAAAATGACTTACTTTACTTAGTTTATATTAGGGATGTACCGAATTAAATTATAGGCCGCCGAAAATGGCATTTTCGGTTTTCGGCCGAAAATAATATGCCACACCACACCGCCCTGCAGTGTTCAGGCTGATTCATACTCGACTAATGAAATGGTCAATAAAATGAAATGACTAATAAGATTTTTATTTTTATTTTTTTACTGTTGTTCAATTTAGTTTTATTAGTTTCATACATATATCCATATAGACAGTATTTTGTTTGACAGTATTTCAGTAACTACACAAAATAATCTCAAGATTTACAGGGTTTTACATGATTCTTTTGTAGCGTGTCTTCCAAATGAACCCACAACCTAATAAGTTTATACATCAAGAAATGCATTAATTCATTCATCCACTCTACGGGAGAGGCAAAGTTTGCTACTTCTCACCGCTGTCGCTGTTTCCTGAGTTTTAGAAGGCAATTAGGCCTACTCCTCGTCGCCCCCTGTCGTCGTGTGTTGCCCGCACTCGTCGGTCGGTTTTCCCGCTCGCCGGAAAAGCAAAGTCCGCTCAAATAACGCGCCGACAGGAAACTTCTATGTATGTAGGTTACTTGTTCACGTTTGCAATAGCGCTACTGTGCTGTAACATGGCAACGCTGTTAAAATGACGCTACCCTCTCATGACGCTATGCTCTGCTCACATGCTCTGATAATAATAGCTTTGTAGGATTATACATTATTTTGATAATTAGTTTAAAAACAGTTATATCTGATTCTGTTGCGTGGAACTGAATAAAAATAATATATTTGTCACACCCCTGTGGACTCGCTTGTGGTTTCTCCCTCTGTGTCCTTATTTGGTTGTTCCTGTTCTCATTATTAGTTAATCACCTCATTGTGCTCACCTGTCTGCCCCTCGTTATCTGCCCTATATAAGTTCCTGTCTCTTGTATTCTAGTTTGTCGGTTATTGTGAATGTTACCCTGTGTGTTGATGTCTACCCTGTCTGGCTCTCCTGCTTGCAAATCATTAAATATCCTTTATTTTGTCATCTTCGTCGTCCTGCCTGATCTCTTGAACACCCTGCCCATGACATACTGATATTTAATATTAAGGTAACACTTTACAATAAGGTTCCATGAGTTAATGTTAATTAATGTAGTAACTAACATGAACAAACAATGAACAATACATTTATTGCAGTATTTAATAATCTTTCTTAATGTTAGTTAATGAGAATACAGTTGTTCACTGTTACTTCTTGTTAATTCAGAGTGCATTAACTGTTAACAAGCACACCTGTTGATTTTAATAATGCATTAGTAAATGCTGAAATTAACATTAATAAAGGGCTGAAGAAGTATTGTTCATTCTTAGTTCATGTTAACTAAAGTAGTTAACTAATGAACCTTATTGTAAAGTGTTACTAATATTAATATAAATTCTGTCCAATTTTATTGTTACTTTCGGTAAAAGTGTGGTTATTATTAAGTGTGGTTTTATTGGCTTGTGTTTTTTAAATTCAGTATCATTAAAATTGAGTTAAATTAAAAGGTCTTACAAAATGACTTTATATTATTTAATAAAACAATAAATAATCATTACAAAGCATTTTCGGTTTTGGTTTTTGGCCTAGTGCATCCAGAATTTTTGGTTTCGGCCCAGAATTTTCATTTCGGTGCATCCCTAGTTTATATTAACCATAATTTAACTCTGTCATTTGTTTTAAAGGGGTCATATAATGCTACATGCACTTTTACAAGTTGTTTGAACTGAAATGTGTGTTGGCAGTGTGTGTACACAACCACCCTAAAATGATAAAAATCCACCCAGTGGTTTTTTTGTTAATCTACTAAAATCTTTACCCCTTTCTCAAATCGAGTCGATCTCAGATGCCTGTCTGTGTGATGAAACACACAGACAGGTCCCTCCCACGATAGTTTGATTGACAGTAGCATTTCAGCACAAACTGGACTGGCGTCTTACCTTAGACCCGCCCTGAGTGAGCTGTCATCAGTCCGCCATTGTTTCACCGCTGGAGCAGATGTAGACAAGAATGACTCCTAAACGAAGGGAATGCGCCCC